TATTTGTATAGCTCATAATCCAGTTCAACATGATCGGACTAAACATATTGAGGTTGACCGCCATTTCATCAAAGAGAAACTTGATAGCGGGTTGATTACCACTCCATACATTCCCACTGGGCGTCAATTGGCTGATCTATTAACAAAGGGGCTTCCTTCAGACAGATTTCAAGAACTTACTAGCAAGCTGGGAATGATAAATATTTATTCCTCAGCTTGAGGGGGAGTGTTGTAAATAATATTGATTTAGTTATTATTTAGTTTTTATTTAGTCATTTATTGTTGTATTGGGCCAAGCCCTTTGTTGTATTGGGCTAAGCCCATTAGGTTAAAAGTAGGTCAAATATTCTCTATAAATAGAGAACCCTTTGTACAGATTATTTACAATTCTATAATATATTAAAATACCCCTTTTCAAGTTCATTACTTTTCTTGTGTGGCTATATCATACATCTTCAATATCTACATATGGTTTATGCTTTTTGCTCTTGATTAATACTCTTCTTTTTTTTATTATTGTCATTTTGTTATCATCAAAACATACCTTGTATCTACAATTTGGACCAATAGTCCAGACACCTAAAGATGTTAAACAGAAAAAAAGGGAATTAAGTTAAACGAAAATTTGAAATATAAAGTACGTTTTTCTAGTTATATATTAGAGCTCCTATTATGGATACAATACAACTACTTTATATTTGATTAGTTTGAATGACATACGTCTATGGAATGTAGAGACAATATCTTTTATGGATCACGGTGGGATGACATATATATATATAAATCCTTTAAGGATTCCAAAGGCACTATGTGTATTATTACTATTTAATTATATGAATCATTTGATAGTGATATATTAGTACTAGAAGGACTAAAAATGCCTAAAGCATTTAATTAAAATCTCAAGAGTTATATTCCGTAAGATTTTATATTTTTTTGTATGGACTTAAAACAATATGGATGAACATGGGACAATCATCTTAGTGAATATAACATCAAAGAAGTATTTATAAATACCTCCATCAGTCCATGTGTTTTTATTAAAATATCGATATATGAATCTACGATTATTGAAGTATATGTTGATGATTTAAATATCATTTAAACTCTTGAAGAACTTGAGAAAACTACTATATGTTGTTAGGATAATTTTGAATGAAACATCTTAGAATAACTAAATTTTGTCTCGACTTGCAGATTGAGCATTTATCTAATGAAATGTTTGTTCATCGATTAAATTATATAGAGGAGATGTTGAAATGTTCTAACATTGACAAAGGTCATCAATTGAGTTCAACCATGGTTGTTTGATCTCAGAACATTAAGAAAGATTTCTTTTTGTCCTTAAAAAAATTATGTAAAAGTACTTGGTCCTGAAGCACCGTATGATTAGGGCTTGATTGTATCATATTAATAGTACATGACTTGATATAACATTTTTTTATAAATGTGCTAGTAGAATATAACCCTACTCCAATGTGAAGACATTGGAATGGAATGAAAATTTGTATTTAACTATCTATGAAGAGCATATGATATGAGATTATTTTATCAAATGGATTCAAAGTCTAAGTTAATTGGAAGAAACATATGGTCTTTATATGATCAAGGTAAAATCAATATCAACAAAAGAAGATAATGCTACATGGATTGCTCAAATAAGGGAAGGACACGTCAAGGGAGGCAAGACTAAGCACATTTTACTAAAGTTTTTTTTTCAGACATGATCTTCAAAGGAATTTTGAGACGGATGTGCATCAGATTCACTCGAATAATCTGCAGATTTGTTCACGAAGTAGTTGCCCACTAGAACTTTTGTGCAGCTTTGTATACAAGATTGATTTATGTCGTATGAGTAATATTTGTTGATATCAAGGGAAGTAAATTAATTAGGAATATTGTACTCTTTTTCTTTCGCTAAGTTTTTATCCCACTGAATTTTTCTTAGCAAGGTTTTAACGAGACATATTCATAATGCATAGTCATCCAAGGGGAAGTGTTGTAAAATATGAATTTTATATGTGGATGACTACTGGAATTTTATGAGGTTTATGTTATGACTTTTTGCTTGTCTTGACCTTTGGCATGAATTGTAACTATATAAGCATAATGGTGCATTGATGTGTAATTAGTTGTATAATGGTGCATTGATGTGTAATTAGTTGTATATTCATTCTTAGAGTCCTATATATATATATATATATATATATATATATATATATATATATATATATATATAAAGGCTTGTACTCTATAAAAAATGAAATAAGAAGAATTAGTGATATTCTCCTATTCTCTCTCTTCATTTCATATCGAGGGAGGATAATTTCAAACTACTAACTTACTACCTATCTAATCACCATTAGATCAAAGAGAGATAATGGTAAAAAGTTTCTGAAAAGAGAGAAATTGTTGATCAAATAGTGATTAGATATGTAGTGATTTGATAGTGAAAAATTTTGGTTGTAAGAATATCCCTCCTCTTTTAAATTTCTTATTTTCTCTCTAAGTTTTATAACAATTGTTACATTATTTCTTTTCTTTTTGTAATAATTGTTACAATATTTCTAAACAATGTAAGATATTATTACATAATTTTCATTTATGTGGGATATTAACAAATAAAATTTAAAGTTATACTTGCCTGGTAAAAAAAAATAAAGTTGTACTTACTTTATTATAAGACTTTTTTTACATTAAAAAAAATGGAGTAAAATTAATTTATAAGTAAATTCGGCATTATATTTTCTACTTCTTTGAGCACAACTTAAGAATGTGTTTAGATGATATTGAGATTGTTGTGCCTGATGCTAGGCATATGTGATGGGTAGAATCAGAATCTCAATCAAGGTCAATAGTCTGGCAACAATTACAATGAACCCAGAGATCCCATCACTATGAAGATGGCTTGGAGGCCATGAAAGGGTGAGCTTGATGGAACCTTCAAGCAGAGACCAAGATGAATTTTGCTATGAGCTAGATATTTATATCTATTTGGGGTCCACGAAAGTGGGAAGATCGATTTTTTTTTCCCTTCAAATCTTTGTTTAAGGTTTTGATTCCATCTCTATTTATATTTTTACACCTATCAATTTACTATGATATAAAACAAAGTACATGCAAGTAGAGTGAATGTCATATTCATTACTCTACATACATTGGAGCAAAAACATACCGAAGTATGTATTTAATGACTTCTATGATGCACGGACACGAGACACGAGACACGGCACGACACGCCGACACGTTAATTCTAAAAAATGCCATATTTGGACACGTTTAGATATTAAATAAAAATTTTAATATATATAATATGATTTATATTTAATACATATAAGAATCTATAATAAGTCATATAACCAATCAAATATTTAAATTTCATAACATAAATATAAATATAAATAATTTTTCGTACTTTGTTAATTTTTAATATCAAATTTCATAACAGAAAAAAATTAATTTATAAATTATTTCTTTTATATTTAGTTAATAAAATAAAATTAAGATTAAAAAAAAAAAATGTGTCCGAGCGTGTCCCCAAATGTTGACTGCGTGTCTCTAAATATTGAGCACGTGTCAGAACATGTCGGAGAGTTGACCATGTGTCTCTAAATATTGACCGAATGTCCGTGATGTCTTTGTAGATAGTACGGCTACTGAATTGGTTACAGTGGTACAAATCAATGTATGCTGCAGTTTTTCGAGGTACACACATTATTGTACATGTTGCCCCAGAAGCATGTTCTTCAAGTCTAAGTTCAGTTCGATTTGTGGAAGGCTTAACAGTTTGAGTTGACTATTAGAGTGATGATTCTAAATAGTAGCGTTGGCATTTAAGATTATTCAAGAAAGAAAAAAAACCATTTTATCTCGTAATTTCTTTTCTTCTTTCTCTTCATAAAATTGTTGAAAAAATAGTCTTTATCTGTCTTTATGTGATCATATGCTGCTTTACTTAATTGCACTATTTTTTCTTCGACAAGTTGAAATCGAAAGCATAATTTCCCTTATTTTCATAAACATTAATAATGGGTATATGATTATCACAGTAGGATTAGGAAGAGTACGTTTGTAAATCTCTTAAATTAATCACAACTACAAAATGAAAATTTTATACGAAAATTATTTGTCTCTCTGCACTATTCTTCATATATTTCTGAAATCGAGGGTGGTGGCCAATAATTTAAATGGAATTATATCAGATTAATATATAGACAACTACACAGATGATAAACCCTTGGTTTATAAGATTTTAAAGCATGAATTAATTTAATTTGTGTGATTAAATAGATAGAAAAGAGGGTTAATGTCCTAGAAAGTCCTAAATACAAGTTCTAGAAGCTTTATTAAAAATTTGCATTGTTCTTATAGGGAAATGAAGTTCAATGAAGCAAAAAAGAGGATTAAATAAATATGAATGGTTAATTAGATGTATTGTTTATTTATTATATGATTCGTATGAAGTGGTCTTGATTAATTCTTCATGTTAAGGGATAATGTAGAACAGACATGTTTACATTATTTCTGTATTTTTGACAACTTCATCAGTGTTCTAGTAGTAAGACATTGATATTAGGATTTCTAACGTGATCTTAAGACCTTAGTAATTAATCTAAGTATTAAGAAAGGAATCACCAAGACATTGGAATTTCTGATTAATGTGTCTATCAAGATAGTAAGACATTACATCTTGAGATGATAAGAAAAAAGTTGATCAACATCACATAGTAGATATTCATTATGAAAATTGGTTCATTCATAAATTCATACTTGAGAGAAATTAACATCTGACTACTTGTTTAAATTTATAATCACATTTTATTTGTTTATCACAATCTGTACTATCATTTTATTATCATCATTTTATTACTTGTTTGACTAATGCACTTACTAAGTTTGACAACAGACAAGTCAAACAATACCAAAACATCATTGCTTGCTTGGTAAGATTCAATGCAAAAAATTTATAACCACCATAACCGAACAAAAATGTGGTCCATGATTTCTACATCCAAAAGACTGTTCAACATGTCTCCAAAATTCAAGATCAGCAGAAAAACATAACATCCTTGACATTATCCTTGATGGAAGGCAATGTCACCTCAAAATTAGTAGTCCTTGTTCCACTTCCACCTGTAGAATCGCCTTCCGATGTTTCTCCTTCAATGTAGTAACGAGCTCGAAAAGCCGCCAAGTGTGCATAATAAGCTGGAGGAACTGTAAACAAAGAACTTCTAATAAAATGATAAATTTAACATTACATTCCAATGTAGTATGACCCAACTAAAAAAAATTAAAATATCGAACCTATTGACACCGATCGAGTGCACCTTGCATACCTGGAAAAAAATTACTTTAAAAAATAACAAATAATAAATAATAACCAGAATATAAAAGATGTTAAAAGAGGAAAATTACGTATAACACAAATTATTTGTCAGAGTCTGCAACTGATCCGGATTGAAGTTATTTTCATCAAACAGTACATGATAATGTGTGGGCCGACTAGTTCCCTGCAAAAAATTAATTAATAGTACAACCAAAATAAGATGTGTCAAACACCAATTGAGCAGTAAATAGCAGCATAGAGTTGATCAATCTAGCACATATTACTTGAATTCCAGCGTGGCTATTAAGATAAAAATCAAATTCTCTCGGATGGCAAATGCTGGTATCGACAACAGTCCCTTTAAAAAAATATAAAAATTACATTACAAACATTACATCAGTCAAATTAAAAGGGAGAGAGAGAGGGGGGGGGGGGGGGGGGGGGGTGGATTTCAAGCAAGTAATTAATTAAACCTATTTCAAAAAAAAAAAAAAAGAGAAACATATGATGTATAATACATCTCAATACAAGAGTATGTGAAACCTGGCATAATATTTCCACTTTTATCCGTCTGATCGCGACTTCCGTGAACAGCAGGGAAGAGACGAGTGTGGTGTCTTTTCTGTACCACAACAAAGGTAACTCGTGGTAGATACCCCTCCTCTAATGAGGCACAAGCCTGAGAAAAAAATTAAGAAATATGAAACACAGAAATCATATAGATGAAAAATAAATCATCTACAAGAACATATTTTTTAATTCTATCTGCATGACACATTATAGTTAAAAAGCAGTCATGCATAGAAACATACCTTCCGTATTGCGTCCATCTCATAAAGCAAAACCTGACTAAATTGGCCCTCACTAACTCCATCTCTGTTAAGCACAAATTGATGTTGAAAAGAAAAAAATTACATGAAAATGTGCATAACAAACACAGTAGTGTCTTGTTCAAACCAAAGCAAAACCTGACTAAATTGGCCCTCACTAACTCCATCTCTGTTAAGCACAAATTGATGTTGAAAAGAAAAAAATTACATTAAAATGTGCATAACAAACACAGTAGTGTCTTGTTCAAACCAAATCAAACCTGTAGAATATAATCCGGTAAGGCTTAGTCTTAGTCGATTTGTAGAAAGCAATAAGTAACTCCCTGGAAAAAAAAAATATAGAGATGAAATAATCAATCAGGTTTCACTCCATGAGATAGTAGCAAATCTAACACACTTACCTAATCATTCCACCATGCACCAATCCCTTCTTAGGATCTTGAAATGATTTATAAAGATCCTGAATAATTTCTTCCCGGTGAACCTGAGCAGAAACTATTCCTCTGTACTTTGTGACCTCAGGCCAATCCATGGATGCCACTACCTATACCAACATTCAACAATTAAACAGCTAAAACCAAAAAAAATATTTAAATAAGGCTGAAAAAAGAGAAAGCTTACTGCAGCAATAGAAGGACTCGAGTCTTCCCCTGGTTGTGGATGGGTTACATCCGCACCCAGGATTAATGTTGGCTTATCAGACACATTAGGGATTCTTCTCTGGATCGCATCATTTAACACAGTGTTTCGACCTCCAACCTATATATCAAATAATGATAGGTTTAAAATTAAGAAGCAATCAAATAAATTTACTGAAACAAGCAGAACTATTAATAGGACAACTTAGACCTTAACATTTATCTTGAGGGCCAAATTTTCAAGATACTGCTTATTCAACTTCGCAACTTGATGAGGCTGACAACATTGCGAGACTATCCCCAATTCTGTTTCGCATATACGCTTTATTTTTCCTGCCAGAAATAAAAAGTTTGATAATATATATAACGTTTGCATTGTATTCTTCAGTTTCATCTTAGAAAACACTCACCATAAGACCCTTTGATATCAGGCAAAACTATTATCAACAATTGGAGTTTTCCATCCTTCATGCTTGCAAGTTTTTTCATACACTGCTTATGAAAATCCACCAGAGCTCTATCTATTTGACTAGGATGAGCAGAAGTGATAGGTATTATGGGCTCTCGATTGAAAAACTGGCATAAGATCCAAACGAATAAAAAGAAAGTTAACAAAACTGCTGGCGGAAGACTAATATGCAACAAAATAGTACAAACAAACATCATACCATTCCTTTGCTGGTACACATATTGACCAATTCATCACAAAATTGAAATGGCAAATCTCTGTTAAGTCTTGATGAAAAGTTGAGGCAGCTCCAGTATGGCACATTACCACCATTGACCATTTTCTAAAAATTATCAAACAATCAAATTATTAACACAGAACAAAACGGGAGACTATCGTAAATGAAATTTCAATTACTTCTTTACTAAAGATAATAGAAGACTACCATTACTTTAAGGCATGGAGCTATATACCTAAATTAACTTTTGACATTAATAACACACACAGCTTCCCGAAGTTCAACAGATTTCAACATAAATTTTAAAAAGAAGAAAAGGAAAGTCATACTCAAATCATTACTAGTTTAGTTTGCATCACCTTGCGAACCAATAATAAAGAGAACATCACAGGTGACAAAAAATTAAAGAGCATACGCATCGATGTAACAAAAAGAGACCACAGCAGTATTTTGAAAGCACTTGTATTAAGCATTCACAGGCTCACCTTATTAATCATATTCCACTGGCCCATCCTTGGGTCAACACTTGATTCTCTGCCTGTTTCATGATATTTAAGCTGCAGTATGGAAAAAAAAGTAGTTATTACAAAATAGGATAATTTATCAAATTATCTCAAGCATAAACCTGTGGTTACCATTGGAGGAGGCAAAACGCGGGCATCAACCGTAGTAGGTTCCTCCCTTACTTTAATTCCAAACTCACGCACAAATTTGTCTGAGTTCAAATCGTTCTGGCCCACAATCTGCAATGAAGCAAAACCCCAATGATAAAAAAAACACATGTAGCACACAACACTAATACACATAACATTATTACATTACAATAGTACCATTTTGATATTGTTTTCCCTATCAAGAGGACGCTGACAGGTTGCCTTTAAAAGATTAGATACTTGACCCTCGTTTAATCTCCTAGTGTATCGTTGTCCAGCTGCAATCTGACAAAGCTACAAAAGAAAGAGAAAAAAAAAAGGAGCTAAGACTAACCCTAAATAAAAAAATAATAATAATATGCATTATAAAGATAAACATGTACAGTTGAGAAGAGAAAAACCTCCATAGGCAAATAAACAGGTTTTGTGTCACTTCCAGCCTGAAGAGCAGGATGGTCCAAATACTGACAGTTAATATTGTATTGCTCACGGAAGTATTGGACAACCGATTTTTTTGTTTTTTGGTCATCGAGAGTAAACCTAAGAGATACCAAATTACAAAATCAAGAGTGACATTGATCATAAATAACAAATGTAAAAGCAAAACAAATACATGCAAGCATACAAAAATAAAGCATTGTCCATATATACCCAAACAACAGTTTAAAATGATAAAAAATGTAAAACTTGCTTACTTTAACTCTCGGAGCGGTTCTTTTGTGACTCCAGTTACTTTGTAACTTCTCATACTCTTACCATGAGTAACTATTACCTTGACTCCTCTCAAAGCTTTCTTAACCTGGATTCACATTGAAAAGACAGGCACTTGACTCCCCAAATGAAAAAACCTATACCATTAGTAGGCCTATATAAATGAAAAAGGCAACTCAAAATGAAAGATCAATACCTTAAGTCGATCTTGATCGGACATAGGCCTGGAAAAATTGAAATTGAAATGTTTTGCAATAAACTCAGTCACATGAACTGGTTCATAAAATGCCCTGGCTGACACATCTGCAACATCAGGGTCATCACTAATTAAAGACATGACCTAAATTCAATTATTAAAATGTTTTGTTAGAGAAACCATTAATAATGAAAAGGAGTAAAACCAATATTGAGAGAAAGTCCCATTTGAGTTGGGCGAAGACTCTGATAATATCCTCTCCAATATTCTAGACCACCACCAAGTGAACCAGTTTTCCCCAAATCGGGTGAGAAAAATGACCTCCCTACAACATTATACCTGCATAGAAAAAAGCGCTAAAACACCAAAAGGCAACAAATCCAAAAGACGCACAAAAGATTAACATTAATAGTACTTCTCAGATGGTGTTGCCCGTAGAACAACATCAAGGGCTTGTATGGTTTCTTGTGGACAGTCCAGTTGTAGGCGCCTAAGAAACTGATGAAGATGGTGAACGTCAGTCTTAGCAGCATATCGGATTGTGACCTTAAATTCACGTTCTCGCCTTTTCCTGTACCGAAACAAATCATCAGCAATTCATGGCATATTGTACAATAATTTTTACACATTTAAAAGAAAAACAGACCTAGAAGAACTAGAGGACGAGGCAGCTTCATCATCGCCAACCAACTTCACCACAAATTCCTTTGATGAGAAAGGCAATAGGCCTGCAGTAAAAAGACTCTTACCACCGTCGTAGGCAGGAATGCGCCTACCCAAGAGTGTTTCTCCATGCATTTGGATTAACTGACTCATCACAGCTCTACAGAGCTTTTTTGAAGTAAGCTCAGGGGTGATGGCAACCTGATAACATTAATCAATTTCTCAGGCATTCCAAAATAATTTCCTAACACCTTGTTTTGTCCAATATTAATTTAATCTTCCTAATCAAAGTATGCTAATTAAGAACCCTAACATTTGAATATAAAAAAGAGAAAATGAAATGAACTCTTGAATATAGAGTACTAACATCATAATGTGCCAGATCTCCTTCAGCAACTTGGACTTGAAAATGATTAGCGCGAACTTTGATTTTCTTCCCCAATTTACCAAGACCCGGCCGGTCAGGGAACCTGATAGCCTTCGAGGAGGAAGGCGGTGTTGGCGACTTCAAGGTTAGCTGCTGCTCAAAATCAGCACTCATAGCTTCCATCAGAACCGGGGACGAAGATGACTGCTGCGAAGAAGTTGAGGCAGCAACGGTAGGAGAACGGATCACCGGCGCTGGAAGAGTAGGAGCAGGCGACGACGCCGCATGTGCAGGAGGAGCAGCAGACGATGGCGGAGGTGCATTTGGAGAATCAGCAACCGCATGTGAAGGAGGAGGAGCAGACGATGGCGGAGGTGCATTTGGAGAATCAGCAACGTTAGTACCTCCACGCCGTCCACGACCACGGCCTCTTCCTGAAGCTGCAGCAGGATTTGGTTGCGAATGCGCCGGAGACTGTTGATCACGGCGGCGAGACATTGTGGTGGCGGTGGAGTTGAAAGATTAAGAGTGAAAGATTTTGAGATCACCACTACAAGCAAGTCTGTTTCTCAGAGAATGCGTGTGATGGAGCGTTGAGGTAGTGGTAGTGGCCCTTAAATATAGGAAACCAACTATGCAGAGAATGTAACCGTCTAGGTGGAATAGTGTGTTCAAAGAGAGAGAAAGAGAGTAAGTGTGCAAATTTTAAAAGTATATATAATGGGTTTTATGTCTCTCCTTTGACACGAGAGACCGTTGATTTTCTTGATAGAAAAACGGTGAAGCCCATTTTTTGTAAAGAAAAAAAAAAACACACACACACTTCAAAATGTTAGTAGGAGAATTGAAAACATTTCTGTCACAAAAGAAAATTTAAACCCATATATAATATTACAACCATATATATATATATATATATATATATATATATATATATGAAAAGTATCCAGCTTATCGACAAATAAAAAATGTATTGTAATTTATTGATTTTTAAAATTGTTATTTTTAAACTTCGAGAATAAATTTTTTTTTAAAAAAATAAATAGTTTCTAAACATTAAGCTTAGAATGAAGTCATTAGTTGATGTAATTCTTCACTTCTTGTATTAATGGAGTGTTTGGTACAGGAAAAAATTTTATTTGTCATAAAATTTCGATTTTCAAAAATATAATTTTTACATTTAATTTACAATAATATCTGATAATTTAAAATTTTTAATTTTATGAGAATTCAGAAAAAATTCGTGTACCAAACGGTCCCTTAAGATAAGGGCAGCTAGGAAATATTCAATCCTGTGCAATTTATTTTTTTTGGTACCCTGCATTACATTTTTTTAATCTCTCTAAATCTGAGTAGGACCTCCTTAAAAACTTTATTTATTTTAGCCTATTTCATAAATGGAAATAGAAACTCAACGGTTGACAAAAACTAGAAACAATTTAAATGGGCTTGTTATAATAAGCTATAAGTAAATTTACTTTAAAAATTGCTAAAAATTTTAAGAAAAGATTATAATTACTATTATTTTAGGCTTATTATTCTTATATGTTTGGTTATCATTAGATTAATTTGAAACTAACGATTGAAAAAAAATAATTATGGTTGATTTCAAATTGATCCATTAATAGTCAAACAACTTATATGAGTGGTAAGTCTAAAATGGTGGTAGTTATAATCTCCCCAACTTTTTATACATAAATACTTCTTAAAACATTCAATGAATATATATAAATACAATTTTGAAATAGAAGTTAAACATATCAAATTAAAAATTAATAACGTAACAATTTTATTATGAGAAAATGATTTGTGCTTTTAAAGTATGTAAATTATGTATTTTTAGCAATTTATAATTATATACTAAGAGTTTAGTTATAATATGAAAAGTTGTACTTTTACTAATTTGAAAATGAAAAAAATAATTTTAATATTATAAATATATATTACTCTTAATATATAATTATAAATTGATAAAATGACAAGAGTTATATTTTCTAAAAGAATAATTTTTTAACCCTTTTATTATTGATGTTTATGTTAAAAATGAAAAAAGGTAAGGATATTAAGCAGAGGATTGTTCAACTGGATATAAAAATTAAGATAAATAACAATAATTGTTGAAGGTCACGAGTGTCGTCCATTCTCCGCGAGTAACTCTAAACTCCATAGGCGGCGCGTGAAGCAATAATAAAAGGAACACATGACAGCCGGCGCGGGAGATTGGGATTTGGGAGCTCCATCATGATTTTCCAACTTCCTATGCTTGTGTCTACTAATTATTAAACAAATTAATTCTTTTTTTCTATATTTTATAAAATTACTTTTACCAAAATAAATTAATTGTATTACCAAAAAAAAGTTAATTTTATCCTAAATAAAGAAGCCCAATAAAAAAAAATCCACTGCATTGAGTTCATTTTTTTCTGAAAAAGAGAAATAGTTATTTCTTTTAAAAAATATTTTCGGAAATGAAATGATATAAAAATTACAATTTACTAATTTGTGACTAATTAGATTATTCTTATAAATCTAAAAAAAAAACACTTAACCAATACAAAATATTAATTAAGTGTGAATGTGGCTAAAAGCGCAACTGAAAAAGTAGAATAGGGAAACACTTTATGTTCATTAAAAATGGAATTGATGTGAACATATCGAATATGGGAATGTGGTTGCTAGTTATGACAATGACCTTATAAGATTATGTGACTGTTTGTATCTCTCATTTAAGCTAAAAATTATTATAAGTATAAGTTAGGACAAATAGATTTGGAGAAAAGTTCTTACAATGAAAAAAAAATTATAATAAATAAAAAAACTAAATGCTAAAAGCTCTTCTTAGGAGCTTTTTTATTTTTAATTCTTATATGCTTTTCTTGAATCGTGTATTTTTTTTAAATGAAAAACTATAAAGATCAAGGGAGAGAGTTTTCTTGAGATATGTGTCTTTAAGTAATTTTTAAACTAAAAATTTTATGTAATTACCCAACAGTTTTCAGCTTTTTTTTTAAGCTTTTTTTTACTTTAACTTATATGTAGCTTCTAGCTTAAAAAAAAAAGATCTCAACAGGTTCTATATCTCTTTGAATCCTTTTTTTTAATAAATTAAAATATACTTATAAGCATAAGTTAGACTAAATAGGTTTTGAGAAAAAACTTTTATAATAAAAAATTCTTTTTTCATAAGGAAGAAAAAAGTTAAAAACCCGTAAGAAGAGCTTTTTTTTAAGTTCTTATCTATTTTTTTTGAATTGTGTGTTTTTTAAATGAAGAGTTACAGAAATTATTTTTTTGAAATATGTACTTTTAAATAACTTTTTAAGCTAAAAATTTTATGTAATTATCAAATAATTTTTAATTTTTTTTTTAAATTCATTTTGTAAATAACTTATATCTTAAAAAAGAAAGTATATCGGTCGGTCAGAACAAATAATCAAATATCATTAAGCTTTGAGCAGACCAATTAAAACTGGTGCAATTTCTGAAACGTGGCAGATATGGTTGATTTGTAATGAGGGATTTCTGCACACTCCGCTACTATTCCCACTGCTATAGCCGTCAACGCTGTTTCTTCTCATTATTTTCCTAGTACTTTTTATCTTCTGATGCGTGTACTATTTCAATATTTATCGATAACATATAATATTATATGTTTTATATAATTTTAATAAGAACGAAATTTTTAAAAAGATTAATTTATTTATGATTTTAAAAAATTTAATAAAAATTTTAAAATTAATTATTAAAAAATACTCTTAAATATACAAAAAAATAAAATAAATTCAACTATTTTAGAAGAGTCGCAATCCATACAAATCGTGTTAAGCAAGCTTCGTAGGAAAAGGAATCCACTCTATTGAATTCATTCTTTTTGTCTCATACCACACCTTTTTTTTTTTCTTACCTGAATTATTTCAGTCTTCGTAGATAACATATAATATTAGGTGCAGATTATATTTACATACTATTATATTTACAAACTACACTAAATACGATCGATCATACTGGTTGCGTTTAGTATAATTTGTAAAAAAAATTTGTAAACGATTCTATCGCATGATATTATATTTTTTAGAGTTTTTAGAATAAGAAAAATTGCATTTGTTGAAGTTGAAGTGTCACGCTCTTTTGTCGGTTTGTGTTTACGCGTCGATACACGCTTCTGCTTGCGAGGCAAGTCTCTAGAAACTTCGGAAAGAGAACAGGTAAGGTGCCCGGAAGGCGACAAGAGCAAGACCATAAAGTAAAGTGAACAATGCTCTTGATGACCTGGAATGGATCTTTTCTGCTGAAATTTCGAAATTTGAACGTGAAAGGTTTCTATATTTATCTTCAATGGATGCGTAGAAATCGAAAAACAGTTTATCCTTTTAAATTAATTTTTGTTATTTTACTTTTACAAAAAAAAAATTATACTTTTATATTTTTTTATCCACTCTCTTTTTCTCACTTGAAATGATACAATTTTACATCCTTTAAAATGATACATATTTTTTGTATGTAAAAATATAAAAAACTTATGTAAGTTCATTTGAAAAAAAAGAGAAAATATATATATATATATATATAGAAAAAAATTATTTTCTTATGTTACGAAAGATAATAAAAATTTTCTATACACATGTACAGAAAAAAATGAGAGAAAATATAGGAGAGAGAATATATAAATGGATCTCATTTCTTTATATGTGAGTATAGAAGAATATTTTTATCTTATGTAACACACACACATATATATATATATAGGGATAGGATATTGTGACACCCAAGTTATGTTACACCCATGTGACACCCAGTCAATCTCGCCGTTAGATCGCTTATGTTGATCCAACGATTATATTTATTTTCATCTTTATATGGTCATGATTTCCCAAATTTAAAGTAAAATAAATATAATGAAAGAGAGAGGCCCTGCATGTTTTTATATAAATAAAAGATAAAATTATTTTTTTTCACGCAAAAAAATATTAATCGCTTTTATTTACCTTACCTGTTTTTTCTTTCCTTTGTTTGCTCATTCTATTCCTGTCTATGCTTTTCATTATTAAAAATGTTATTTCGACAGAAGCATAAACTAAATCCATCTCAGCATTTCTTGGGGTTCATCATCAATTTCATTCTAATGTCTCCTATATGTTAGTATTTTCCACTTGCAATTCATCTAGAAATCATCCACTTGGTCATTAACGTATTAGTTAGCTTCACTCACCCAGGGGGTTAGTTTGAGTAAAATTGGCATTGAGATTTGCGTGTAATATTAATAGTGAAATTTTGTTACTTTTTCCCTTTCATGTTCATGTTTTTCGAACTCTGCAATATAAAAATCAAAATATATTTAAGCAGTAGTGGAGCAAGAGGGGGTTGGGGATGATGACCTTCCTCATTTTTCAAAATCGCTTGTATAGTTGTATTGCTCATATAGTATATGAGCAGTCACATGACTCACATTTAATACCACCCATCTTGTTGATACGATATTTGTTTGTTATTTTTTCTAA